GAGTCAAGAAGGCAGGCTTTCTGTTTTTTGAAAAGGTTACTGTATCTTTATTTCAAATAATTCATTTATGTCGGAAGCAAATGCTGCTATTACTTGACGTAATACAACTTTATATGACTTGAATTTCAAACATCAAAGGCAGACTTACTGTGTTTATTTAACTACCCCCCCTCCCCAAACCTACCTGGATGAAGTTTTCTCAGGCCAACAGAAAATTAAGAGAAAAAAATAAAAAAACAGACTTATGGTTTCAGACAGGAGGGGACTGGGGGAATGGATTGGGCATTCGGGGTTAGCAGATGCAAACCATTATATATATAGAATGGATAAAACAAGGTCCTGTCAAGCACAGGGAACTATATTCAATATCCTGTGATAAACCAAAATGGAAAAGAAGGTTTTAAAGAAGATCTTATAGGGACTTCCCTGGTGGTCCAGTGGTTAAGAATCCTCCTGCCAAGGACACGGGTTCCATCCCTGGTCCAGGGAGAGCCCACATGCCAAGGAGCAACTAAACCTGTGCACCACGACTGCTAACTCTGAATGCTGCAACACCGAGAGCCCGCGCTCCACAGCAGAAGCCGCCACCACGAGAAGCCCACGCACCGCAACTAGAGGAAGCCTGGGCAACAAAGACCCAGGGCTGCCAAAAAATGATACACATACTGAACTGAATCACTTCGTCGTACAGCAGAAATAACCACTGTAAGTCAACTATACTTCAATTATTAAAAACAAAAACAAAAACCTTGGTGAGTTTTCATAACGTAAAATTATAGTGTTAAGAGGTTATAGCTGGGTTTGCTATTTTATTTTACATCCTTTCTTGAGAGGAAGAAAACTGCACCAAGTGGACAACCCGGAAGTCCTCTTCATTTTTTTTTTAATTTGGGGGGTTGGGGGTGGAGTTGAGTGTCTATGAAAATCCCAGGGTCTGGGAAGGACTATATTAAACCAGCCTCCACACAGCACTGCAGTTAGATTCATTTTGAATCTCAGCCAAGATATGCAAAGCTAATTATGGAACTGTTAATTACTAAATGCTTAAAAGGTTACTTGAAGGCAACTAAGTTTCCACCAATAATGCAAAAGAATGTTAATAATTTTTACCACAAACTTAAGTCCTCACTTGTTCAGAGCCATATTAGCTTTTTGTAATAAATGTGCATTTTTTTAACCTCCAAATTCAAATATCATTGCTATGAGAGCTAAATGCTTGTAGCCAAACAGGCATTACTTTGTGAGACATGCTTTTCAAAATTGCACCCGGATCATTTAGTTGTGTTTTATGAACAAAAACTACTTGAGACAAATTATTTATTACTAGAGCCCCCAAACGAGCCAAAATATCATCAAAGTATAAGTTGTCAGATGAAAATATAAGACTGACAGTAAACAATGATAAAAAGAAATGGAAATTTCTATGTGTCAATAGACAATTCTTCCACTAGATTTGAAAGTTAAACATCCACCAGAGAAACTTTTGTGCAGATTCTAACAATTTAAAGTTCCCTGTGCTAAAGGCACTTTTTCAACCCTCTCATTAAGACTCAAGAGGTATTCTACCAAGTGACTTTTGCAAAGAATTATCTTGCACAGTTATGACCTCTGATGACAAATTCATGAATTAGCAACTAAATCAAAAGGTTTATAGCCACACACACCCCCCAAAAAATCAGTGAAGAACAAAGTAATATTATTAACTAGGAAAAGGTGAGGCAGAAGCTGTTTTTTAAAATACAAACCATTTTAAAACACAAATCATTTTAAAAAGTAACTTTTACAACTAGCTAAAAACACATATTAAATCTTTAAAGCAGAATAAACAACTCTGCAATAGATGTTTCATCTGAAAGACTAAAAACAGGCATTTAAACACCCTACCTAAGCAATCTGAAAGGGTCTGAACTCAATAAGTTAATAAAATAGTTTGGAAAACTCATTTTATTGTTTAAAGCCTTGGGGGCGAAGCTGTTTGTAATTTATTTACATCTTTTACTTCACTAAATTGCTTAGGTGACCAAGCTTCCCACTTAAGTGATTAAAGACATAAACCCAAATAGTTTAATAAAGCAATTACTTAAGAGTTCTGTTTTTCAACAAGAGATGCACTGAAAAATATCAATAGAATGTGTAGTGTTCCTTATTTTCAAGGAGGTATGTTAGTGAGAATACAGTGCCCCATTGACTACAACTTAGCCATTTTCCAGATACACAATACTGGACACATACTGGATTAAAGATAGCTTTTTTTCCTCCTCCCAGAATATCAGGTGAAATAGTGACAGCCCCTTAAATCCGAATGTGCAACATCTGGCTAAAAATTCAGGTGACAATTTTGCACTTCTCCTTACCATCTCCCCTCTAGTGAAGTCCCTAAATAAATGGGAAAAATGAATTCCATTTCCCAGGTGGCTATGAAAAGCTTCCTAATTTCATAATAATTTTCAAAGTCCCTGTGTCTGCACTGAGGTTCTCCCTGCCCCCAAAACCTCTTTAACTTCTTAGCTAACTTTTTTAGGTTATACAAGTGACAGCATGATTACTTCTAGGCAACTGACTGACCTGGTACAAAAGTATGTCCTCTCAGGGTTTAGGAGACTGGGTTGGTGGGATTTTTAAAAAAAAAGGAAATGAATTTAATATATATTTTTTTTTCCTCTTTTTTCTTAAAGTGCCTTTCTTTTGCTTGTCATAAGAATCATACAAACTCCTCATAAATCTATCCTGAGAAACAGAAGGAAGCACAACAGCATAACTTTCCTGATTCACGTGTGTCTGTTCATAGGTTTAATAACTCTGCCTTTATATTACAAAATTCTAACTCTCAAGTAGTCATGAGAAGAGAGTGCAGGAAAGCTTCCAGTCCTTGCATTCACACACACTCAACAGAAAAGGCACCTGATACCAAAGTTTTGTTTTTTACTTCTGAGTAAATCTCGAACTTAGAAGAAGAGTAATTCTTTTTAACAAGCCAGGTAAAGATGGGAAGCATTCACCTTACCAACTACTTTCTCTTTAAAATGATACAGATGGAGATTTGCATTGGGCATTAAAGTTAATAGGGTGGACACTTATGCAAGTTCAAAATGTTTGGTAAGTTTCTTTAGGGTGACTTGTTCTGTGAAGGTGTTGGTGGGGGGAGGTGGAGGGAGATAAAAACGCTGCTTTCAGGCTGTCAGTGAAGTTTGCACATTGTTGGTGTCAGTAGCAACTGGCCCACTTCTGACTCAGGCCAAGTTGTACGTTGGTCGGTTTTCACTCTGTTCTCCACAGCTGGCTCGGAAACAGGAAAGTTTAACAGTTCATTTCTTTGGCACAATCCACGCACTGTCACAGTGGACATTCTGCCTCTTTCAGTCTTGTTTGGTGATCGACTACCCCCTCCCACCTGATAGTAGGTATTCAGTCATTGCTATTCTAATCAGCCAACCACACCACTTCCCCCTCTCTAATTTCCAACCAAGGCCTCTGACATCATTTTCTGACCACCTTACTGAGTTCTAATATTCTCAGCATGTGTGATTTCACTTGGCACCTCAAACACTGAAAGGCATTGAAACACTTCACTGAAATTAGCTTTTCCATCACACTGTGGGCTGAGAACCTACAGTTTCAGATGCAGAGGACTGAGTGATTGCCAACCGCAAAACCAACAGGAGGTGGGAAAGGGAGAAGCAGGGCAGCAAGACCTGGGCAGGACAGTCCTTGTTTTTGGTAAAGTAACCTTTAGAACGGGAACTTTCCAGTGACCGTGTGAACTGAATTTTCCTTGTAAAATTTATCACCCATCTTCCACATGTTTGGTAAATATGCGCACTCTAGCTACACTCCCCAGATGTGACGGCTGCATCAGAAAAAAAAATGAAAAACGGTACCAGGTGCCATTCCTGGGCCTTGCCCAAAGGCAGCCGGTGGAAGAGTATTTTATCCTTTTCTCCCCGCATTAAATAACAACCGTCAACGGCAGAGAAGGAGAGCATTTGGATGTGAACAGATGGCATCCAACACCTAACAAGTGAAGCCACTCTTTCAAGCACTAGATCCTAAACGTCTGATGGCCCCAAGGATCAGGAGGGCTTATTTGTCTTAAGAAGGTTGGCAGCAGGACCCCTGGAGTCACCATCCCAACGTATGCGTCATTATCCAGTCAGCAACTACAACCAAAAAAAAAAATCAAACCACCACATTTTTATAAATTTCCCCCTTTCCAGTCCAACTAGAGACGACCAGATCCAACACCATCAGCAATTTCTCCACTTAAAGCCAGAGAAAAATAAGCCTGAAGGTAAACGAAATGTATAAAGGTTAACAAACTTACCTAATTTTGACAAGGTTGTGCAACACCAGAAGAATCCGCAGGGTGCCCTTCCCGGGGGTGGGGGCGGGGGGGGGGGGCGGTTGATATTTGAACATGCCTGCTCTGCAGTTCTGTCTGCAATTGAAACTACAAGCAGTAACCTAGCTATCCAACTTTCTTCCTCCCTTCTTTGGAAAGCGGCATCCTTTTTTCCCCCCCAAAAAGCAAAACAGTAAATATACAAACATCTCAACGTTTCACTTTAGAAGACCACGGCGGATTTGTCTTTCGCAGAGCCCTGTAAGTTTCCTCAACACCTCTGCGAACACCCTGAACTGTGAAGGCAGAAAGGGACCACAGGCTCGGGGAGGAAGGGAGCCCTGCGGCCGGTGGGGCAAGAGGGACGGCCGAGGGGAGGTCACCCCCGCAGACTCGCAGGCCCAGCGCGCGGCTGGGAAGCCGGGACGCTCGGGAAAGACCTCGCAGCCGCGCCGGACAATCGCGAGGGCAGGACAGTACCGAGAAGGCAGCGAAAAGAAGAAAACCCAAGAGAGGGGAAAATAACGCCAGGACGAGCCGGGGAAGGCTTGGAGATGGGAAGCCACTGGAAGTTGGGGACCTGATGGGAGGCGCGGGTGCGCGGGGCAAACGGCGTCGGGAGGGATGGGGGCTGGGAGGGCGCAGCGGACGCGGGTCTCACCTGGGGGGTCCTTTCGGCGGGGTTCTTCATCACCGCCTGGCGGAAGCTGTTATCCACGTAGGACGCCATCTCCCCCCGCGGCCCGGGCCGGGGCCGCCCCGCGCCCTCGGCCGCCTCCTCCCGGCCCAGCGCCGCCGCGGCCGCCGCCTCCGCCCTGAGCGCTCCGCCTCGGGCCAACCAGCCAAACCGCGGCGGCGGCCGGGCGACGGGGCCCGGGGCGCGCGGCGGGGCGGGGGGCGTGAGGCCCGAGGGTCCCCGAGGCGCCCGGCAGCCGGGAGCTCCCGCTTCCTCCGCCTCCTCCGCTTCCTCCGCGCCGCGCGGTCGGGAAGGCTCCCTCCGGGCCCTGGCTCGACACGCCTCCCCGGCTCCTCTCGGGGACGGCGGCGGCTCCTCCCGGCCCTCTTGGGCCTGAGTTATTTTTAGGGAGTTCGAGCCGCGGTGAGGGAGGAGGTTGGGGCGCGCGGGCCTCCTGCTCCTCCGGGCGCAGGGCCGCCCCCTCCTCTCGGGGTCTCCGGAAAGCACTCCGGCTTCGCGGCCGCCGTCTGAGGACTGAGTCAGGTCTGGGCGCTCCGGAGCTGAATCGCCTCGGTCTCCGTCTCCGCCGCGCCGGAGCTCTGTCTACTGAGCTCCGCCGAGCCCCCCGACTGCTGCTGCATCCCCTCGGGCCGCCCCGCCGCCGCCGTCGCCGCCCCGGCCGCCACCGTGCGCTCCGCCGCCGCCGCCTCCCCCCATCGGCGCGCGCGGAGCGGCCAGAGCGCCCCCGGCTGCGCCCTCGGTCGCCTGACTCTCGGCAACTTTGTTCCCGGTCTGAGGGCGCGGAGGGAAGGGGCCGCGGGCAGCCGGGTCCGGACTCCCGGCGGCGGGCGTCGCGCACTGCCCCCCGGAGAGTGTTTGGGAAGCGGCGACTCCCCTCCTCTTCCCCGCCTCTTCCTCCTCCTGAGCCTCCGCGCCGCCCCGCGGTTCCTTAGGGAGGAAACGGCCTCCGGGGCCGGTCGCTTTGTGCTGCAACCATGGTGAAGAGTGAGTGACGGGTCTGCGGCCAGTGGGCTCGCGCCGCGTCGGCGGGGGCCGGGCGTCCTGCGCCCGGGCCCGCCCCCGGGCCCCCAGCCTGTAGGCCCGCCGGCCGCGCCCTCGCTGGTGAGCGGCACCTTCGGCGGCCCAGGTGAGCCGAGCGTCCCGGCGGCCCGGGGTGGCAGCGCCCTGGCGGGGCTGGCGGCGGCCCCGCTCCACCTGGCCTTGGGGAGGCGACGAGTCTCAGCGCCGGGGCGGAAGGCGCAGACTCCCCTCTCCCCGCTCCCCACCCCTTCCCCGGCTTACGCCGCGCCCCCTACCCACATCCCACTCAGGATCCCGGGGGATCTGCCGCGTCCCCTCGCCAGTCCATACTCCCCCTGCCGCCAGGTCTCGGCCGCCGGGGCTGAAAGTTGACCTGGAACAGAAGTCTGGCCGCAGCTTGGGCCGCCCTGGGCAGTCGTTTTGAACCCAGGGGTTGGCTCCGAGTCGCTGCAGAGGCAATCAGTCCTCGGGGTTTATTAGGTTTATTTGTGACTTGCTTCAGGGAAAGCGTTCCCTCCTGCCTCCGTGCTCAGCAGGCGCCTGACACTTAAGTGACCGCGAAACTAAAGAGATGGAAAAGTGCGAGTTCAATACTGGACTAAACACCGCCCTAAGACAGGCAAACGCTCCAGATTTAAAGGTGATCAGCCTTTTGCGCGAGACAGCAAATCCTGTGACATAAGCAGAAACCGTTGCAGGTGTGCTTGGCATGAGGCAGGAGTAAACCTCCAGACCCCAGACCCAAGTCGGACTTACTTGGTGCAGAAGCACTAGGACAGAGAGCCCTTTAAGATGTCACCATGCCTATTGTCACCGTGCCACCCCGCCCCCGGGCCCTGCCGCATACCCCGCCAAGGCCAAGTGTAAGAAGTGTAAGGTCAGCCAACCAGCGGCCACAGCTCTGGAGTTCTGGCCCTAGGGTTTTATTTTTACCTGCTTCCCTTTCCCTCACCCTCAATAAGTTCATGTTTTGCTGTCTGTATGGAGGCCATATTCAGAGGAGGATTGTTATTTGCACGACCTACTACGCTGGACTTTCCTCCAATTATCAAAGATACTGTTTCAACATCTAGTTTATTTTAAACAGTTGGAATAAGTTATGAACAAACATTTTACGTTCCTGAAGTCATCTGTGTGGCATTAAACAGATTGTGTGGCTTCCAAGAGAAGAAACCATCCTGGGCCAACCTTCTGAAATTGAATCTGAGTTACAAATTGTATCTCTAGACCTTTGTATCTCTAGATATTACCCCTGCCCCAACTGCTTCCCCATATTTCTCTCAAACTCCTCACTTGAGGGCCAGCATCAGATTCTTTATGACATAGACCACCACCTTGAATAAGTGCCATTACCACTTTGTGAAGAGAGAAAAGAAGAAAAATCAAGTCCAATGAAGTGAGAAAACTTACCTGACATCTCCATCTGGTGCCCAGTAGATGTCTAAGAATTAACATGTGCAAACCAGGCTCCAGATCTTTGGCCCCAAACATGCGCCACCCACAGCCTTCCCCATTCCAGCCAGCGGTCATCTACGCCAATCATCCAGTGCCCAGGTGAGAAACCTTGGCATCTTTCTTGACTTTTTCTCTTACACCCTACAAATTTCAATAAACCTGTCAGCTCAACCTTCAAAGCACTGTATCTGGAATCTAACTCTACCCACTGTCTTGACTGCCATGACCTTGGTCCACGCCAGCATCATGTTTGGCCTAAACTTTGCAATAACCACCTACTTGGCCTCTCTCTTTTCGCCCCTTGCCTCCAACATGTAGAGTGAATCTGTTCATTCCAGTTCAACTTACTCTTCTGCCAGGCTCCTCTGCCCCTGGAATTCTCCAGGCAAGAATACTGGAGTGGGTAGCCGTTCCCTTCTCCAGGGGATCTGCTTAACCCAGGGATTGAACCCAGAACTCCTGCATTGTAGGTACATTCCTTGTGATCTGACCCACCAGGGAAGCCCTACTCTTCTGCTGAAAAAGAACAAAAAGTTCATTAGTTATCCATCACATTTACAGTAAAAGCCAAGATCCATATTTATTATGGCCTAAATGACCTACAGACTGGTCCTCCCCCAACTTGTCTCTCTGACTCGTCCCCTACTATTCAACCCCCTACTCATTTTCCAACTATGCTGGCCTACATGCCACTTCTGGAACTCGCAGTCTCATGGTCTTTCCCTTTGCAGTTCCTCTGCCACCTGAACTGGTGACCAGCTTCCCTAGGCCACCAAAAAACAAAACAAAGCCCTCCGCTTTGTTTTTTGTTTTTGATGTTCCCCCCACTCTTCCTTCCTATCTTTATTCGAATGTGACTTTCCCTCTATCTCCACCTGCTCCTCTTTCTCTCCCTTGCTTTCCTTACCACCATCTGACATGTTATATATTTGATTTATTTCTTGTTTGTTTCCCTCCATAATGATGTAAGCTTCTGAAGATCAATGATATTTGTTCCTTTTGTTCACCTAACATGAAGTAAATTAATAAAAAACTATAGTATCACCTTGTATGTGTAGGAGACTGTTCATACATTATCTCACTTGTGCCCCTGATGGAGGAGGAGAGGCTAAGAGAGAAGCAACCTCTCTGAGCCTGTTTGCTGCTCTTTAAAAATGGGATAAAAATTGCATGCCCTGAAGATTTGCAAGGATCCAATAGAATCCATTCAAAGTGACTTGCAGAGTGCTTGAACCATGCTGTGTGCTCAGCACAGTAGTTAATAATATTTTTAAGATCATGCTTATCCTCCCAACCCTTTGAGGTTAGTGGAACAGTTACTATCATCCTGTTTACAGATGAGGAAACTTAGACTAAAATAGGCTAAGTGACTTGCCCTAGTTCCAGGCCTGCCTTGAAGTTTGGAGGGGTCAGGGGCAAGCTAATATAGACCTCATCATAAATTCTTAAAGCTATAAATTAAATGGAACACAGTATGTCATGGACTCCTGGCTTCTGGCTTGAAACTCACACCTGATTTTCTTCCCACCTCGGCTCCATTACCTTCTACCCAAAGACTCATGCACTCAAAAACATCCCAGCCTATACATCCAAACAACATCATACCCCTCACAAAAGCTTCCAGTTGGTGATTTCTCCAGCTGTGATCCAGAGTTGGATGATCAGGCCTGAAAGTGGCAGGGCAGTAAGTTCCAGGGCTCAGGGTGTTCCGAGAGCATGGAATTCCTTGTCCCACGGGGAGGGTGAAGCCGGAGCAGAGCCCCAAAGCCCAGGCAGTGGGCAGGAACCCACTCACCCAGACTGCACACCCAGAAAGTTGTGAGCTACAGTTGCAAACCCAGTTTTGCTTTGTTTTTTTCTGAGTGATCTACTGTAATACAGAATCACCCCGATGACCTCAAGTGAGGCCTAATAGTGTGTCTTATCCACCAACAAAATTACTAACCCACTGTCAACCTCTAAGCTATCATTTAATTTCAATTAAAGTTAATTCCCCACTATTTAGAATCTACTTATCTAAGTATGTCAATAATGCTTATCGCCCTTCAGCATCTAGGACACCTAATGCTTAGCATGAACTGCTTTTTTTATTAACGTTTGAGCTCCAACAGTATGCAGTGTATACCATAAGTGACAAAAGCAGACACAAACTTGCCAGTTTGCCAGTTAGCCGAAACCGAACTGTCAGTCACCATAATCCAAGTAAGCCATCTATTAGGCCGCCTCATAAAGGCATGTTAAAGGCATGTTTAAGGCATGTTTAAGGCGTGTTCTGTCACATTATCTAGGAAGCCATTAAGGGATAAATGGACAAACACTGAGTTTTAACTCTAGAATTACATTTCGAGTTCTGGCCTTAATACCATTCTACCTACAACTTCAAAAAGCCTCAATGATTGCAACAGTAAATTCTAATACATCTCTAAATACATTAGTAAGTTAGGTGTTTAAAGTGAGTAAAATAACTTTCTAAAGTTCATATTGGTCCAGGTATGACATAAGAATAGAATTGATACATCTGTATCAATCTATCTAGGGAGAGTCATTTTGTTCCAAAA